GTGTGAAAAAAAACCTACCGTGGGCAGCCATTTTGGGCAGGATAAAGTCTTAGTGTTCTCCACATACATAGCATACAATGGATATACTCTGGCATACACTAGAGGTCAAACTACTGTGTGAAAGAAGGACTGATGGGGGCAGCCATTATAGGTAGACACTATAGCATTCTCTACACAGCAGGCACTAAAGGTCAAACTGTTCTGTTCTTTTGGGTAGGACAATGTCTTCGTATTCTCCACACAGCACACAATGGCTATGCTATGGCAGACACTAGAGGTCAAACTACTATGTGAAAGAAGTCCTCCTGAAGCAGCCATTTTGGGTAGGACAAAGTCTTATTATTATCCGTCTAGCACACAAATGGATACACTTTGGCAGACATTAAAGCCCCGTTCACACTTGAGCGTTTGAAAACTCAAGCAGAATGGTCTGCCTGCGATCCCAAAACACTCTGCACAAACAACAAATTGTACCATGCCTCTTCAGAGACCATCCATTTTCAATGGCACCAAAACGCGGTGCAGTTCTGCTATGATTAATCATGCTGAGATGACACTGCAATCACGACTGCTGGTCGCCCAAAAGAAACCACTGCTCCACATGATGCGGTTTGCTGTGGCAGAACCACAAAGTGTTTTGGTGCCATTGAAAATGAATGGCACCGAACAGGCGGGGTGCAATTTGTCATTTGTGCAGAGCGTTTTGGGATTGCGGGCAGAATTGCAGTGATTCTGTCCTAGGTCGCAAACACTCAAGTGTGAACGGAGCCTTGGGGGTTTATTTACTAAAGCTGGAGAGTCCAAAATCAGACTCCCTTCTGCATAGAAACCAATCAGCTTCTAACCTCAGCTTGTTTAATGAAGCTTTGGCAATGAAACCTGGAAGCTGATTGGTTTCTATGCAGAAGTGAGTCTGATTTTGCACTCTCCAGCTTTAGTAAATAAACCCCTTAGTGTCTGCTAAAGTATATCCATTGTGTGCTAGGAGGATACTCAAACTACTGCCTGAAAGAAGTCCTGCTGGGGGCGGCCATTTTGGATGAGAAAAAATTGTCTTAGTAAACAGCAATTGACATGCTATGAAGTAGTAATACAATATGGATATTATTATTATGCAGGATTTATATAGCGCCAACAGTTTGCGCAGCGCTTTACAAAATGAAGGTAGAAAATACAGTTACAATACAAGAGGAAACAGAGGGCCTGGCTCGTTAGCGCTTACAATCTAGGAAGAAAGGTTGAGTGATACAAAAGGTAATAGCTGTGACCACCATAGCATATCCCTGGGATATCAGACTACCGATACCGTGGCAAACATCCACCTAAAAATGACTTCCTGCTATCAATTTTGCCTGAGGACCCTTTCACACAGGCGTTCGGTCTGGATCAGTCTGGCAGTTTTCTAGATAGATCCAAACTGAACTACAGTGTATGTCTATGGATGAGGCCCCGGTCATATGTTGCTTAGCAGCCACGCTGGTTCCTATAGTGATTTAAAAAGTGCGATTCATGCGGTGAAAGGTGCGTTGGGCATAGGGCAGCTTGTTAAATATAAAATGCGCACTCACATATTATTATTATTATACAGTAGTTATATAGTGCTAGAAGGTTTGCTCAGCGCTGTACATTATAGTGGGGGACAGAACATGAGACAAGACAGTAACAATACAATACACGACGGGTTCGAGGGCCCTGCTCTTTCAAGCTTACAATCTAGGAGGGAGGGGACTATGAAGCGGGAGGGAGGGGACTATACTATGCGCCTGTCACTCAGCACTGGGATTACTTCCCGAAGATGTCCAGAAACACGTTGGGGCAGAGCACTCAGGATTACTTCACGGAAACACGTTGAGGAGGAGCACTCAGGATCACTTCACAGAAACACATTGAGGCGGAGCACTCAGGATCACTTCACGGAAACACATTGGGGCGGAGCATTCAGGGTTACTTCACGGAAACACATTGGGGCGGAGCACTCAGGATCACTTCACGGAAACACGTTGGGGCAGAGCACTCAGGATTACTTCACAGAAACACGTTGGGCTGGAGCACTCAGGATTACTTCACCTAATCCTCTAGGGAGAGCATTGCCGCTTCATCTGCTCACTTGGGAGCCAGCATGCATTCCACCTTGAATGGAAGTGACATCACCAGAGGTGACATTTCATGTTTTCCAGAAATCTTCAGGAAGTAATCCCAGTGCCGAGTGATGGGCACATAAAAACAAAATGCGCACTCACATAGTATGTGTCTGTCACCTGGCACTGGGATTACTTCCTGAAGATGTCTGTAAAAGATGAAACACGTTAGGGCAGAGCCTCTAGTAATGTCAGTTCAGCTCAAGGTGGAATGTGCACTGGCTCCCAAGTGAGCATATGGAAAAGCAGCACTCCTCCTAGAGCATGGGGGTCAAACTGGTGGCCCTCCAGCTGTTGCCAAACTACAAGTCCCATGAGGCATTGCAAGATTGACAGTTACAAGCATGACTCCCAAAGGCAGAGTCATGATGGCACTTGTAGTTTCACAACAGCTAGAGGACTGCTGGTTTGACACCCCTGCCTTAGAGGATTAGGTGAAGTAGTCCTGAGTGCTCCGCTCCTCGGCGTTTCTGGACGTCTTCGGGAGGTAATCCCAGTGCTGAGTGACAGACATATAGTATGTGAGTGCGCATTTTGTTTTCAACGATTTGTGTTATCTTAAAATTAAGGTTTTACACTATGAATTTTGTTTTCAGTCTATATTTTTATATTAACCCGGAGAAGAGGAAAGTTTGATGGCGGTGGCCTCCAGTTAAAGTGTTCTTAAACCCTGGACCCTGTATTCACTATATCTGGTCTCCCCGAACCCTGTATTTACTATATCTGGTCACCCAGCATTCACTATATCCGCTCTCCCTGGACCCTGCACTCACTTTATCCGCTCTCCCCGGAGACCCTGTATTTACTATATCTGGTCACCAGCATTCACTATATCCGCTCTCCCCTGGACCCTGCATTCACTTTATCCCGGTCTCCCCGGACCCCGCATTCAGTATCCCCGGACCCCGCACTCACTCATATCCCCGGACCCGCTACTATATCCGCTCTCCCCCGGACCCCGCACTCACCGCACTCACTATATCCGCTCTCCCCGGACCCCGCACTCACTATATCCGCTCTCCCCGGACCCCGCACTCACTATATCCGCTCTCCCCGGACCCCGCACTCACTATATCTGTTCTCCCACAGTACACAGAACATGGAAACACTATTTTAGTAAATATAAACTGCTAAATACCTTTTCTCATCAGCTGTATATAACAGTCTTGTGACTTCTATCAGTGTCCACCAAAGCACTGGTTAAAGCTTGTAGGAGGAGTTTTCTTTCTACTCTAGGAGGATGCAGAACCCCTGACCTTTGTCTGGGCAGTGTTGATTGGCCCTGTGCTGATCACATGCACTCTCCCAAGAAAAGAAAAAAAAAAAAAAAAAACCTCTCTAGCAATACACACCAAACTGAGCATGTGCAGAATGTCTTTACCTCTTATCTCCTGATAAGACATATTGTGTAGACACTGGAAGAAGGGGAGAATCAGAGAAACCTGCTGATTTCAGGTGCAATTTGCAAGATATGACACAGATGTTTATGCAAATCACACCAAATGTAGTGCATGTATTACTTTAGAAATCAGTGCGGCTCTGCTGTAATTGTGGACAATAGGGTGCAAATCGCATGCCAAGTCGCACCCAGTGCAACCGGGGTGTTACAGTACTGTGAAAAAGTTATAGGCAGTTGTGAAAAATACTGTAAATAAAGAATGCTTTTAGAAATAGAAATGTTAATAGTTTATTTTTTTTATAAATGAATAAAATGGAAAGTAAATGAACAGAAGAGAAATCTTAATCAAATCAATATTTGGTGTGACCACCCTTTGCCTTCAAAGCAGCATCAATTCTTCTAGGTAGACTTGCACACAGTTTTTGAAGGATCTCAGTAGGTACAGTTGGTCCTTCCAAACATCTTGGAGGACTAACCACAGATATTCTGCCTCAAATCCTTCTTTCTCTTTATGTAATCCCAGACAGACTTCATGATGGTGAGATCAGGGCTGTATGGGGGCCAAGCCATCACTTCCAGGACTCATTGTTTTTCTTTATGCTTGAGATAGTTCTTAATGACATTAGCTGCATGTATGGGGTCATTGTCAGTTTTTGAAGGCACTCGGCCGGTAGGTTGTTCCAAACATCTTAGAGGATCTGTGGTTAGTTGTCCGTGGATGTAGGCTGCCCCAAATCCTTTTGTCTCCATGTAATCCCAGACAGACTCTATGATGGTGAGATCAGGGCTCTGTGGGGGCTAAACCATCACTTCCAGGACTCCACGTTTCCATGTTCTTTACACTGAAGATGGTTCTTAATGACATTGGCTGTATGTTTGGGGTCTGCTGCAGAATACATTTGGGGCCAATCACACGCCTCCTTGATGGTATGATGGATAAGTATCTGCCTGCATTTCTCAGCCTTGGGAACACCATAGATCCTGACCAAATCTCCAACTTCGTTTAAGGAACTACAGTCCCAAACTTGCAAAGGAAACCTCCACCATGCTTCACTGTAGACTCATTATTGTACCGCTCTCCAGCCCTTCATGAACAAACTACTGCTACAGCCAAATATTTCAAATTGTGTCTCATCAGTCTAGAGCTCCTGCTGCCATTTTTCTGCACCCCAGTTCCTATGTTTTCATGCATAGTTGAGTCGCTTAGCCCTGTTTCCACGTCGGAGGTATGGGTTTTTGGCCACAATTCTTCCATGAAGATCACTTCTGGGCAGACTTCACCGGACAGTAGATGGGTGTACCTGGGTCCCACTGGTTTCCACCAGCTCTGTGCTGATGGCACTGCTGGACATCTTCCGATGTTGAAGGAAAGTAAGCTAGATTTTTCTTTCATCTGCTGCATGGTTTCCTTGGCCGACCACTCAGTGTTGCCCATTACTTTATGCTTCTTCAAAAGAACTTGATAAATTGATTGATGGTGGTTTGAAGCCAAAGGGTAGTTACACCAAATATTGATTTGATTTAGATCTTTCTTCTGTTCGCTCACTTTTTCATTTTGTAAATTGATGACTAGAAAAAAATAAATAAATTATATATATATATATATATATATATATATATATATATATAAATTATTATACAGGATTTATATGTGTGATCTTAGATTGTAAGCTCCAAGGATCAGGGCCCTCCTAACCCTCTTGTATTGATCTGTATTGTTGATGTATTGGTGATCCTTGGAGCTATATATATATATATATATATTTTTTTTAAAGCATTCTTACTTTACAGCATTTCTTCACACTTACGTTTGCACAATACTGTGTATCACCACCAAAAAGTATTCCATAGGATCAATATTTCACGTAAAGGATTTCGATATTACACTTTGATTGTGTGATCTGACTCGTGTTCACTTTGCAGGCATTGTTGCATGACACTAAGTGTAAATTCAGGCAACATTTTCTCAGCTTTGGATACAGTGGGGGATGATTCGAACCTCTTCCAGATTTTACTGGTGTGCAAGGAGGCTGTCCCAAGAGATAGAAGTACAGCTTTTCTTCGGGTGCCTACTTGATAAAATCTTATGAAGTTGCAAACACTTTTCAGCTCTGAAGAAGAGGATGAAGATTCCCCAAACGTGTTGGCTTCCTGTATATCTCCAATAAAAGTTTCCAGGCATTTTGCAAGTTCAGCATTCATTTTCAGTTTGTATGGAATGCAGGTATTGCCCCCTCCACTTCTGACAGAGTGGAGCACTTGTGAGCTTTTATTGCTGTGGGAAGCAGGACACAAAAGGCAAAAAACAGCAAGTTTACAGCAAAGATGTTAGGTGATCCCTCTCTCTGGCACAAGGCTTTGCACTTCCACAAGACAGATGACAAGTTCTCATCATGAGCAATAAATCCTCCCTATAACAAGGATTTTTTAAAAAATATATATACACAAGTGTCCCTGTATAGCAATAACTGTCCTTAATACAGATCCAACTAGCACTCACATAAGATACACTAAATAATAAACTGAAACAGTGCTAAGCTCAAAATAATGTGGAAAAACTCAGCTTATTACAATGTACCCCTCACTTTACCACGTATCCCAAAATGCATTAAAAAAATAAAAATTAAAGGATACATTCACCTTTAGGGCTCGTTCACACTTGACTGTTTTTCCAACTCTTGCCAAACGCCCCTTTAGCGCTTGACAAGCGTTGGTCCGGAGTTTGCGGAGAGTTTTTAACGCTCCGCAAATGCCTCATGAGCGGTTTAGCGGAGGTTGCCAAGCGATAAAAACGCCCCACAAACGCCTATAATAAAGTTTGAATGGTGTTAATACTTTGCAAACGCCCCGCAAACCGCCCCGCAAACGCCGGCCGGGCATTTGTGGAGTGGCACCATAGACTTGAATAGGAGGCTTCAACTCCTCCTGACTCAACCAGAGGTGTCCGTTGCGACGCAACGCTAACGCTCCCGTTTGAACAGCACCATGTGCTGCAATGTGCAGAATTTTCCCAGGGGTTTGGGAAACGGTAAAAACGCTTCCCAAACGCCTGTCTGCCGCTTGCTAACAAGGCTAGTGTGAACGTAGCCTTAAGGAAAAAAAATTAAATGTACATATTTTTGCAGGAAAAAAAAAATTTTTTTTTTGTTTGGCTGAGCCTGCAGAGCCTTGCACCCGTAATCGGTAGATGGCGGATGCAATGTCAGGCACCTGCAGACACCGCCTCCAGCTGCCCATACCTTCAATGAACTACGAGGGCACAGGGGGAGGTGAAATGTGTAACATGCTCCAGAAGGTGAATCTATCCTTTAAATAACTCCCAGTGCTGATTTAGAAGTACAAAGTGCCCACATAAAAGTCTATAATATTGTCCATGACCACCTCCACAACCAGAAAATCAGTGGCAACCCCCCCCACAAAATTCTTTCTAGCGCTTAACCAAGTCCTGTCTGCGCTTAACCAAGTCCTGTCCGGTCTATAGGCATATGACGTCCTCCACGGAACGAGTCAGCACAATCTGTCACCCAGTGTCCGGTGACCGATCAGTGTACCAGCCGCTGCTGGTACCATGTGATCACTGTGACCAATCACACGACAATTGTACACAATGGATGGCATTCATTGATGGCATCCATTCTGTACTATTGTGTTAATCTCTGCGATTGGTCAGTGACCACAAGGTACAGTCAGGGTCAATCACAGCCCATCTGTACCATGTTAGTAGCTGGGGCCAATCACAGCTAACCGCAATACTAAACACTGCATGGATTGATTTCATTCAGTAAAAATGGTTGCTTATAACAGTAAAATTCACTGGTATAAGCAATCATAACGTGAAAAAAAAAATCCTGATCACTTCCCCAGAGTATTACAGTGTGACTATGGTGACATATTGTTCTGGTCACAGTATGTAAAAAAAAATTAAAAAGTAACAAAAAAGAAAAAACATTTTTAAAAAAATTGAAAAAAAATTTTTTTTTTTTTTATTTGTTTTAACAAACTGTCATCAGTCAGTGTTTCTGGTCACTACCACACCAGCTATAGGATAATGCTCTACTGCACTGGTGATAGCAAGTAAAAAATAAATAAAAAAAAATTGTGGAAAATATTTAAATTCTCTCCATTTTACAAAAAATTGTGACAAAAAATTACAACTTCAAAAAACTCGCCATGCCTCTTACCAAATACCTCAGACTGTCTATTTTCCAAAAAGGGTCATTTGGGGGATATTTGTTCTGTACTGGCGTTCTGTGCCTCAAGAAATGAGGTTGGCCGTCAGCACATCAGGATTGATTGATTTTCATATATACAGTGGGGCAAAAAAGTATTTAGTCAGCCACCAATTGTGCAAGTTCTCCCACTTACAAAGATGAGAGAGGCCTGTAATTGGCATCATAGGGAGACCTCAACTATGAAAGACAAAATGAGAATACAAATCCAGACAATCACATTGGCTGATTTGGAAAGAATTTATTTGCAAATTATGGTGGAAAATAAGTATTTGGTCAATATGAAAAGTTCATCTCAATACTTTGTTATATATCCTTTGTTGGCAATGACAGAGGTCAGACGTTTCCTGTAAGTCTTCACAAGGTTGGCACACACTGTTGCTGGTATGTTGGCCCATTCCTCCATGCAGATCTCCTCTAGAGCAGTAATGTTTTGGGGCTGTCGCTGGGCAACACGGACTTTCAACTCCCTCCAAAGGTTTTCTATG